ACGTTGAATTGTGCACATCACAGCTACTGCAGATGCAGGACAGAAAAATTTCAAAAGCACGTTCCATTCCTCCTTCCAGAGGAACCTCAGACTTCAGAATTGACTTGGTTTCAGAAAGAGAACTGGAATTCTTGAAGAAATTCGACAGTAGCAATCCAGCAAGTTTCAAATATGATTACGAGAAAGGCAGCGAGCCACCGGGATTCCCTAGATGAGCGTTCAGACCAGTGTTTACATGACTAAAGCTTGTAACTACGTTAACGCAAACCTGCTGTTCATTTGTTTTTGCAGGACCTTGAAACATTTTATTTACTTGCTACAACAAGCAATTTTCACCAGCAAGTATTTTGTTTGTTTTAAGCGTATCCATCCTAACAGAGTGCTGACCAGATGGCTTTACTCTTGCTTTGCAAGAACACCAATGCAGACACGACAGGAGCATCACTGAGTTAACAAAGGGCTATTTCTGCTACCCCAGGACAGTTAAAAAGAAAAGCCCCAATTTTTCAGAAGCCAGCATACTGGATCAAATACTTTTTCGTATCTGTATTCATTAACCCTGTACAAAAGAAAGCTGATTAGCAAATGTAAATGTTCATATAAAAATAGCCAACATCTGTTTAAATTTAGAAATTTATTTTGTTTAATCCACAAGCTTTATATAGCTTTAGTTAAAAAAACAAAAACAAAAAACAGTGAAAACATGACAATATCCAAAGTTCAGGTTCCTCAAACTTTCAAAGACCACATCTCTGAAAGTCGCTTATACCATTCAGAAGAACCATAACGAGACAAGATTTATGGATGGGGCAACGACATCTCACAAACAAAAAAATTTATGTAACTGAAGGAATTTTTCTGGGACTGCTGATCATGGAAACTGCCCTTTAAAAAAAGAACATAAAAATACAAATGAAATTCCAGTGTTCCAAATCAACATGTTACATCAATATAAACCCACAGTGTCCTGGTAAACAACATGCTTTCATTTAGGTACCACTCGAAATCGCTATTCTTGATTCGCTTTAATGGAGACTATGCAGGCAACAGTAGAAAGCATTAAAAGAGATGTAATTCCTCGGTAATTCTGCAGTGGTTTTACTTCTGGGCAAGCTTACAAACCACAAAGGTTAGTAGCATAACGTAAGTGGCTACAAAAGAAGTCAAACGAGAGCCTCACAAATTATGCTAAAGGCTTTGTTGAATTTCAAAGAAACTAGGGAATGGGCGGTCATGTTTAAAACCTTCAAAACAAATTCCTACAGCTTCTAAAAAGTCTCGCTCTAAATGCAATTATGTTGACTGTCAATGAAAGAATGTCACTAGTACACTGTGGACACCTTTTGTAATGTAAATCCATGCCCTTTGTACATGGTGAACCTCAACCTAGCAATTATTACAACAAATGTTATATTCTAAAGCTCAAACACATTTAGCAATTTGAAATTGAATTCTGAGTACAAACCAAATAAAATGTACATTTTATCAAAGGATTCAGCCTAGGATGGGGGTGACACTTGCGCCTTCCTCATTGACCTCAGTGCCTTCTCTCGCAGGTGTTTTTCTAGATCATCAAGGTTGTCTTCTGGTTCACTTTCTGTCTCCTTCAAACAAAAAGAAAGCATTTCTTCACACGCTGAAAGCTACACCAGACTGCAGCCCTCCCCAGTCATCAAGTAAAAATCACGAGACCGACACCAAGTAGCATTTCTGAAGTAAGGCTGCTGTTTAGACCATCCACAGTACTATGCACATTCACCTCCGCCTATTTTCTTGTATCAGACTCTTTAGAAGTAAAGCACAGGTACCAAATTCCTACCTTTTTGGGTTCTGTCTCTGCTTCCTGATCTTCCTGTGCGGAGGTGGTATCTGCTGCAGCCACAGCAGCAGCTGCTACAGCAGCCGCAGCCCTCTCCTTGTTTTTTGTGTTTCTTGTGCTTTTTATCCTTTTTATGCTTCTTATCCTTCTTTTTCTTCTTCTTCTTTCCACCCCCTTCTTGATCCGAATTCTGTAACAAACAATTCAACAGGTATTACAGCTCATTCCTAAGGCTTCAAAAGGTCGTTAAAACAAGCCCACAACCACCCTGGGAAATCTGAATGGACTGAGCAACATCTGACACTCAGTAAACTCAACACCGTCTCCAGAGCTGGGGGAAAGTCGCATTCCTAGTCCAACTGACAGCAGCAATCCTAGGAGACAGACACCGTAACGCACAGCTGTGCTGTGTCTGTTTAAACCAGAACATAACCCCAAGCAAACTTGATACGCTCGTCGTAACGACAGGCAAGCCTCTTCATAAAAATTAATACTGCAGGTGGAGTCTAACTCCTTCAAACACTCTTCCGGCACAGAATGGAAGTGTCCCTTGGAAACACCTTAGCAGAACAGATAAGGACACCAAACAATCTGTTCTCTTCCTGTTAGGAATAGCCTGAGTTTGCATGTAAGACTACCAAGTATAAATAAGACCACCTCACCCTGTAGACCATGAAACTCACGTACACTCATGAAACAGGAAAGTCTTTTCTTCCAGAAGTTAAAATCTATACATAATAGCACTTTTTACAGACTCCAGAGATGTTAAGTTTGAAAAAATTTGTTACAAATTGTTTTTAAAATATTTTTAACTATGAAAATACCACCCCAAGGATACACCCCCCCTCCCCCCAAAGCTTAGAGCTGTTCAGCAGCTAAGCCTTCATGAAAATAACTTGCCATATAACCCAAACCAGGATTGCTTTGATTAGCAAACAAATACCCTTGCAGGTGATGGGCTCTGAGTTGGGCTTTTAGCCTTTTTTGCAGGTGACCAGTTTGCAGAAGGGGAACGAGACCGAGTAGGAGATGGAGGTCCTTGATGTTTTTTCGGTGCTGGCTCAGGCGACCCTGATGCAGACCGTGATGACGACACCCGTCTCGCAGATCGTGGACTTGGCGTGGAAGCCCTTAAAAACAGAAAAGCTACACTTAGATTCTAGCATTAAGAGATATAAAAGACAAAACAAGAACATAAAACTTAACAAAAAAGCCAGATGAACTTATGTGCTTCTAAACTGGTTAAGCTGCCACTTAAAAAACCCATTAGTTTGCTGGCATATGTTACAAAAAGGCAAAACAATCTAATGCCACTGTAGATCCGTAATGCAAAGAGATATTGCAACTGGATAGCTTGTTAAACAATACTACCATTGTTGTGCAGGAATGATTGCTCCCTTTCTTCTGATATGACTAATTTATAACCTCATTAGGAGTCAAGAGAATAGCAATGCTATTTTATCATCCAGTGAAGAAAGAGTGCAAGACCTTACATTCAGCTACTTTTTCTTCCTGAATTAAATAAGCCAGCACCATACTCTGGACTATTTGCTTGTAAGAGTGGCATCACACTAAAGAAAACTGCTAAAATTCTGAAGGTTGTTAAAGGTTGTTTGTTTTTTTTTTTTCCTCTTGGATGATCACTTATGAAATGATTCATTAGCAAATGAAAAGTGCTGGTTCCCTTCTGGAGTTAGCTTTCAAGTAAGAGAAAGTTCATTTTTCTTTAAACAACACTAGCAACAAAATTTCTCTCAAAATTCTTTTCACATGCTCAGTCCCAGTGCTCAAGTACCCAGAACCCTCAAGCCCCACATAAAGCCTCTTTAATGCTTTGCCCCAAGTTCTGCTTTATTTTAACAGATGCTTCCGATCTAATAAACTTCCAAAAATCAATGTTATGGTGGTGGAAGCTGAACAGAGCTGCCAGCACTTGAGCAATCTCAATATATGAGAGCCATTTCAACGCAATTCCCTGGCTATTCCCACTGCATTAAAACAAAACAAAAAAGCCCTCACGAAACCACCGAGAATAAAGATGGATTTATTACTTTGTCTTCTTAGGTTCTGGCGTTCTTGACACCCTCCTGATGGGTCTAGTGCTTGGAGATGGAGACTGTCTTCTCTGGGGTGAAGCTGAAGCTCCCCTTCGTGGTGGCGGTGGGCTTGCAGAGGTATGAGAAGCTCTAGGCCGTGGTGAAGGTGAATGCCTTTTGTTTTGTGGTGGAGAACGTGTTTCCCGATTGGATCTACTGGGAGGAGATCCCTTCCTGTGCTTGGAAGATATCGAAGGTGAACGCCTCTTAGCAGCTGGCGAGCTCCTTTGTTTTGGTGGTGGCGAATGGGAGACTCTGCGTTTTGACTGTGGAGAAGGTGATGCCCTTCTTTTAGGTGGAGGGGGAGGAGAAGCTGTTCTTCTCTTAGGTGGTGGTGAAGGAGAGTATCGTCTCTGTATCGGTGGAGAGTATCTCCGTGGAGAAGGTGAGCGCCTGCGTGGGGGTGGTGATGGAGACCTACAAAGAAAACAAATATTTAGGTGCCACATAGGCTTGTGAATTAGTTACAAGTGTTTTGCAATTCACCCAAAAAAGGGAGAAAGAATCCCTCTAAAAATTCTTTAAAACTTTTTTTAATACCAAACTTCTTCAAATGATATCCAGGCCACACAAAACCTCACTAGCAAAACTACAGTCCCCTCAGTAAGCTATGAATCAAGAAACCGGTTTTCTCAATCACAGCATTTCTTTTTATAGGTCATCGCTGGAAACGAACAAACCAAAAGCAACCGCTTCATGACAAAAATGCAACACACTACCTTCGACGAGGTAACGAAGGGGACCGCCGCCGCCGAGGAGGAGGGGCAGGCGAAGGAGAGCGTCGCCGCCTGGCTGGTGGGGGTGATGGACTTCTCCTCCTCCTACTAAAGAGATAGAGGGATTTCTCAGAGGAGTTGTAATTGAGACATGAGATTATTTTTTTTGTTCTTCTGCTTTCACTATACAAAATAATCTTGTTCATGCACTTCCAAGTCAAATTCTATTAGAACCACTGATGAAAAAAATATACTCAAGCCTTTCTAAAGGGTGTGAGACAACACTTACTTTACCGTAATTCTCAGAGACAGCTACAGCAGTCATGAGACAATTTCACATTCTGCTTAACCTGGCCTATTTGCATCTGGTAGCCAAAGAGGAAGCCCAACTCTCTCCCATTTTCTTCTCCTGAAAGCTCATTTCTGCCATGTCCCTTGCACTGAATCTAGTGATCATCTAATGAGTCAGACCAGCTTCCTGATCCACCAGACTAATCCAACAAAACCACCTCTTTGTCATCATGCAGTGACATGATTGCCAGATCTGACACAAAGGAGGAACTGGGAATGCCCATCTGTGTCAGGCAGAGCAAAACTGCGTTCAGCGGCAGTCTGAAGATGGATCAGATTAAACAGTGTGAAACTGTGCTCTTGAGAACAGCTTTTATCTATGGATCTGAAATCCAAAATGACTTATTTCTTGAAATGCAGAGAAAAATCAGAGTTGTTGCTGAACTGCAGCTATCTGGATTAAAATTATTCACAAAATGAGTCATTTTCTGCCCTGCAAGGCTTACAACAGACTTCTGAGATGGGAAACTTTAATCAAAGACATACTCATAGAGTTTTAAAGGATAGGGATATTGGTATTTTGTAAAGTAAGACATTGCTTTTTAAAAAAAGCAATTCAGATAAAATGACTGGATAAAGGAAAAAATTAGAGTAATGAAAAAGCAAAGAAGCTCACCTACATAAACTGAGACTTGATTTCAGATACACTGGCTGCTGTTCTCCAAGGCAATGAGTTACACTTTTTATAGAAGAGTTTGCTCCAAAACACAGTGTCCTTTTATGATCCAAAAAACCACCCCCCTTCAAATGTCATGGTTGCCCTAGTTAAATGTGTATTTACACAATAGGCAGTAGGTAAATGTAGTATGTTGCAAAACAGATTAAGATCTTCGAATTCCAATCTGTTTTACATAGAATTGTTTGACAAGATCCATAATTAGAATGGTCTTAATTTGTAGAAGTAGTCATACTTTATCTCATACATCATTACGTACGCTGCAACTATATTCTAGCTAGGTCTTAATTACAGATTACTCACAAGGGTCATTATATCAGACTAATAAACCCATAAGCACCCAGCTTCCCGCACCTTCCCATGTTCTGAGATCAACACAGAGCAAGCAATTGAATAAAAAGTGTTAACAATATTGCCTACATAAAAAGAGAAAATAAAGTTCATTACTAGCCTACTACTTGTCTACTACCAGTAGTTCCAAGTACCTCATGAATGCAGGAAAACTTCTGAAAATTCTATCTGTGACCCAGAACATCAAGATCTTAATCATTTGTTGCAAGTCTACAGAAGCGTTTTAGCCAGAACGTCAATGGCAGCAAGAATACAAAGCAGTGCTCACCTGCCTTTCAACTCTGTGTACGTGGAATTAGAAAACCCCCAAAGAACACGAGCATTCAGTGGTTTTCAGACATCAGTAAGATGCTAATAGCACTTCTGTTATTAGCTGTTACAGGCTTATGTGAATTAACAATAGTGAACAATGAAGGAGACAGAGCAGGTGTTCCTTTTTTTTTTTTCTCCAGTAAAATGATCCCAGATCCAACACATTAAGGAACACATCAGCCTGAATTTCCCTCACCTTACTACTTTAAGTGCGCAAGTCCAAAGGATGGCAAATACTAATCCATGACAAAATAAATGAGAGCCTGTCTAAATGATTTGCTGTGTGTAAATCCTATTTGACAGATTAACTTCTAACCAACCTTTTCATCACTGGCGATTGCCACCTCTTTTCCATCTGCATCCTGATAGCAGTGGAGGAAAAACAAAACAAAACAAATCTATCTGCCATATATTTGAAGTAAAAATGAACACATTCAAATAAAGTTCAGAGTAATTCTTACCAAATGAGCACAACAAGAATGCAATCTTGAAACAAGATTGGGCAAACTGGACATGACTTAATTCTGTTGTCTATTTGCTGACAGTTGCAAAGCAGATAAACAACACTAAGTAAATGGGAAAAAAATGTCAGTTGCCCAACTTAAGCCATTACCGAGGGGAGGATTCCTTCTGTCGTTTTCGTGGAGACGGCGATGGACTGCGTGAATGTGAATGGCGTCGACGCCTACCAACTTCCCCATTCTTCACATTGGATCTTTTAGGTCTCTCCTCTTCAGACGAAGATGAAGAACCAGAATCTATAAACGTAGAAGAATCACTCTCTAGAAAATGATTCTCATTACAATACTAACACAGTTACTGGTAGGGTTATAACTGCAGTTTAAACTGCACTGTACTAACCCCCTCTCCCACAAAGTAAGAAGCCTCTACTTAAAAGCAGTTCAGCTAAGAATGTTAGCTGAAGTCAAGCGATAAGTAAGTCCGTTGGAGCTGGGTAAAAGTTTTTGCAGCAACCTAACTGTCCACATAAGATTTGCCTAGCCAGGCAATTTAAAAGATGAACTGCAGTTACTTACAGAAAGATTAAGTGGACACAAACCTATACCAGGCCCAGGTTAGTTTACTGATCTCAAGCATACAAGAGTCCAAAATATTAGGAAATAACCTATTGCAACAACCGATTAAGTAATCCATAGCAAACAGTATTTGTGTGTGACGTTAAGAGTTTAAACATGCAACTGTTAAAGATGCAAACCAATTAACAAGAGAAAACCCTTAAAAATGATACTTTATTCCTCATGAGTAATAATTAAAAGTGATTTCACCACCAGTGGTAAATCTAGAATTAAGTTTACAACAGCATTGCAGCGCACACAGCAAATAATTTTCATCAGTATTTGAACTTAACACCACTTCCTGCAAAAGTAAACCACAATCCAGTTTAGGAAATCCATGTCATCCATACCAGATGAAGACTGTTGATTTTGCCTTCTGTACTGACGCCTCTGTTGAACAGAGTCTGCTGCAGCCATTTTACCTCCTTTATCTTCTTCTGAAAAGGTACATACATGGACAGAATATTGAAACTGAAGATACAAATTTGCCTTATTCAGGCAGAAGCCAAGTCATATTGCAGTAGATGATCACGCATGCTTCCTCCCACCCCCAAATCATCATCTTTATACTTCTGAAAACGCTTGCTTTCAATGCCAGTCTATCAAGAGGGTTCAGCACTTTACCACTGCCTTTTATTGTCACGCATCTTTGATTAAAAACCTCACCCAAAACCAGTGTTGAAAAGTGGAAGCCGTACCTGATTCAGACAGTTCTGCTTTCCTTGGTTTTGGTGCTGGCGAAGGAGATTCTCTTTTTTCGGTACTCTTATGTTTGGGTGCTAAAAGACAAAGTCAAATAACTCAGTTGTAACTCGCTACATTCTTGCATGCTTTTCTGCCCATACAAACTGTACACACCATCTTTGAGAAAACAAAAGCACAAAATGATAAGGCTGCTGGAATACAAATTTTTATTTGGTTACCTGATGCTCTGCCAGGCGAAACAGAGCCACGGCTTTTTCTTGAACGATTCGACTGCTGGGGTGTTGGAGACCTACGTGGTTTTGGAGGTGGACTTGCTGGTGGGGATGGTCTGTGCCTCCGCCTAGGAGGGCTTGCCGAAGGAGAGAGCCTACGCGTTTTGCGAGGAGGACTGGATACGGTTCTTTTAGGTGGCTTCTTTGGTGGTGATCGGGAACGTGAGGAGGAGGAGGAAGAGCTACTGCCAGATAAGGATGCTGATGACCGTCTTCTCCTGTAAATCAAAAGTAACATTAGATTCTGACTAGCCAGCTTAAGAAATGTTTGAGCATGAACACAGAATTGCATTTGTCTGCAAGCACATATACAGAGCCACATACAACAGCACTTCCAAAACATAGTGGGCAGCCTTCAACACTTGGTTTGTAGAAGAGGAGACTAACAACCAATCTTCCACAGTTATTTTTAAACTACAACAGTGAGCAAAAAATTGTTAGTGTTACCTCTGCTTGCTTTCTGTCAATCTACAGACTACAACTAAGCTTTTCTCCTGGGAGCAATTAGTTTTGTTTGGGCTCTCTAACTTTTGGATGGTTAAGAGAATTCTCCGCGTTAGCACATGGGATTTAATGATCTTCAGAACAGATCTGTTTAAGAGTTTAGTGTGCAAATACACTAAAAAGTTTTTACACCAGGAGGTAAACATTTCAGACAACTTAACAATTCAGAATCAATCTATCCATTCTTATGTTTTAGTCTTTCATCTTTACTTTTTAATTTTAAAAAGGTAGGGCCTCTAGAATTCTGCGGCAAAATTTGTGGCAAGTTCTGTTGCAATTGTGTACCTGCAGAATCCACCTTTGGCTGCAGAATTCCTGAGAACCTGGAAAAAAGAAACCCTACCTTGAGTGAGATAAACATTTGCTGAAAAGGAGCTCTTGTACATCTCGCAACATACATGTTTGATATTTTCAGAGTTTTCCCAGTAACTGTGTGAAATGAACAACTTTGCAAACTCCGAAAAAAAAAAAATCATCACCTTGTCATAAAAAGGAAGAACTGTTCCTTCCCAAAAAAGAGCAACTACTGTGCACAAGAAAGCAACGCTTTAATTCTCTTCTACGAAGAGGGCAAGAATCTATTCTCTTCCTATGAAGATGAATGTCTATTCTAGACATTGCCATAAGTACATAATTTTATTTGCAAGGCAACTCAGAGCTTTGCTACTAGAACAATTGCTTCTGCTGTCAAAAACACAACCTCCAACACTGGAGAGCAGACCTTGAAGGTTTTTTTTAAAGTAAAAGAACATGAAGAAACACATTTCACATCAAAGTTTAAATTTTATTTTAATTCTATGCGATGGAAATGCAAGTCATAATTAAAGAGCTGCCAAAAAGTAAAATCCAGTTACTTGTTCTAATTTTTTCCCCAGGCAGGAAAAAAAAAAAAATTGAGACTTAAGCAAAAAAGTCATAAAGGATGTCATGTCAGTCTGTGCTGGGAGCTATCCAGAGCCATTTGACGAAGTTACAGTTCTGAAATTGCCACTTTTCAAAAAGGCAGAATTCTCATCACTATTTCAAGTCAAAAGAAATCATTTCACAGCTACTATTACGCTCCCCCACAACACGCTTCTGAAATATGACACTGCAGTTTTTACATCACTCAGATCATAATCCTGACAGCACTGAGGTAAAGTGAACAAGGTAATTTTGATAACGCTCACTCCTCACAACTAATGTTCCCTTCAACTTCCAAAGTTTAACATTTTCAGTTGTCTCAAAAAAGGGAATCTTACCGCCTCACAGGGGATCTGCTTCTTCTGTGTCTGGGTGGGGGAGGCATTCGCCTGGGAGGGCTCCTCCTCCTTGGTGATGGCCGTCGTCTTGGGCTTGGTCGCCTTCTAGGGGAGTAAGACCTGTCACAATCAAAAATTCAAATGAAAAGCAACTATCTAATTTTCAGATTTGAGGAAAATTTATCCTCAGGGCACTGCGTGTAAAGTTGCCTTTCTCCAAGCATATCACATTAAAGTAGCATTTAGATTATGATGCAAAGTGGTACATTCAGACACAATCAGTGCTTTAAAATTTACCAACACCTCTCTACTAAGAAGTAAAATAATCCAAAAAAAGGGGAGGGGTGTGTCAATTTACATCATCTTCAGCATCAAACCTATCTCGTAAAAGAAGGCTACACAATTCCCACTATCTAACAAATGCCACACTCAGCATTCAGTACCCCATCCTTTCTCCAGTCAGTGTTAGTCATTGTGAGCATCTTCTCAGGAAGGGATAGGAAGAAAACAACTCCCAAACACATTTATCCATTGAATTCATCTTTCTCATTTGGCCTAAAACATCCCATAGCTCAACATCTCTAAAAACATCACTACTTTACCTGAGAACATTACATTCAGTGGCACCATCAGAAGAAGATAATTACTTCTCAACCTTTGCAATCAAGATAAATGGAAGTCCTACCTTGACCGTGATCTATGACGCCTTCTTGGTCGAGAATGAGATGGAGAACGTGATCGAGATCTTGACCTTGACTTGGACCGAGTTGGGGATCTTTGACGAGTCTTCTCTTTTTCCTTCTCTCTCTCCTTCTTTGAATTACGTTCTGGTGAAGTTTCCTTAGTCTCTGGTACAGGAGGTTCAGGTTTAGGAGCTTTTGGGATATCACTGTTAAAAATAAAGACTTAATTTATAAGTATATACAAACCATAGCTCTTGGAATAACATTTTAGAAGCTGCCATGACATTCCCCTACAATGAACATTCTTCTGCCCATCCTCTGACAAGATGTTAAGACAGCCTGCTCCAAAACTGTGAAAAGAATTAGAACATGGTACAACAATTCAAAGAGAAGAAAAAGTAACATACAGGCTATGTATGCTAGAAAACAAGATGATGTCGGAAGTGGAAGATGACCAGGACAATGAAACCACAGCGGCAGCTAAGCACTCTGCCTTTAGAATTATATGCAGGACAAAAGAAATCTTACTGGAGATTACTAAATAAATTCTTTTGTCACTGCAGGGGGACAGGGAGAAGCAGGGATTCCCCCAAGTCAAGCTCCAAACAGATATTAGGATAGTTTCCGTTTTTCAAGAGGCAATATATACTTCTACACACAAAGTTATCACACTTACCTGTTTGAAGTTGCCTCTTGAACAACAGTCTCCTTTGGTTTCACAGAGGGTTCTGGCTCAGGAGTCGCCTCTTTCTTTTCTGGTGCAGGAGTAGCACTACGGCTCTTGGTTCTGTGATGAGGGGAGCGAGAATGGCTGCGTTTCCGCTCTCTTCTGACAGGCGACGACCTCCTTCGAGGGGAAGGAGACCTTGATTTGCGTCTAGGAAAAAGAAGTGCCATTTAATGGCATAACATAATAAATCATGCATAGGATAATAAAACCTGTGACACTCAGCAGCTGAAAGCTCTTTTAAATCAGGTAGACTCTCAGTACTGTCTAGAGCAGTTAAAGCACATGTAAGGACCACTTCACATTTTCTGCTAGTTATTGACAGCCGAATTAAGATGTCAATCAAACAAAAATCCCCCCAAACCAAAAAGAACAAAGCCTGGAACAGATAAACCATTAAAAACAGTTCCTAGTGTAAACAATGCCTATGTCAAAGTTGCTCCAGTTTACTTGCAATTACTGTTCAGTAGTTAAGTCAAGCTAGCCTGCCAAAATAGCAGGGGCTATTTCCCATTAATTTAATTTTTCTCTGCCACGCATTCTTCACTTTGTTCTAGAGTACTGTTGATACATTGTCTGCGCATTTTCATTACCTTCTTGGACTCCTGGATCTGTCTCTTTTTTCTCTGTTGTCCTTGTCTTCCTTATCCCGCTTTTCCTTGTCTTCATCTTGTTTCTTCATAGAAGCCAGTTTCTCTTGCTCTATCTAAGCAACCAAACATCATCACGTAACTCAGAAACATCATAAAGACTTTATCAAATACATATGTTGAACAACAACAACAAATATAATTTTCATGTCATGTCACCATATTCAGGACTAAAATACATTGCCCAGACAGAAAAGTTTTGCTGAGCACAAAATGTCTACTGAAATACCAATAGTTGTACAGCCACTAATTCTGCCCAGTGCTCACAATTATTCATCCACAATTCTATTAAAAAAAATCCTACCTGTCGCTGTTTTATTT